TGGGGTGGGATGGGTGGGATATAGGGCGCACTTAATTTGGAGCCTCGCTCTGTTGTGCGACCCTAACCACACTCTGGTGAAAGTGATTAAATAAATAAATAACCTGAATTATACACGCGTTTTGATTGGTTCTTCTAGTTCTTTTGATCTATTGGAGGATAGACGTTTAGATGACGCCAATATTAGCAATATTTTGCCTAGTTTAGTGATCATGTAAATAGAATGATTCTATGTTGTCAAGGGTCTGTTTACATCAGCGACGCGCTTGGCAGCACCTCATGTGCCCTTTTGACGTCATCTGTAATCTATTACAGCAGCATGGAATGTATTTGTTACCTAGACAAATGGGGAAACGACATGTGTACATGCATACGAGTCAGTTTTTGTTTGTTTTTGTTTTTTTGTTTTTTCAGCTTGTGGACCGGACTGCCAACTTCTTTGCCTCACAATGCACAATTATTACAGATCCCTACATAATTCACCTCCCCTAAGTTGTGACCCTGAATTGGCGAAATCTGCTCAAAAATGGTCTGATCAACAGGCAGCAGTGGGGCATATGCACCATTCAAAATGGACGCACGAATATACCGAAAGCATTTCGTGCAAAGGATGGGGTTGGGAAGGAATGGACAGAATAGGAGGAGCCATACCTGGGGCGGTCAGATTTTGGTATTCAGAAATCAAGAACGGCTACAGATATCAAACTGGACAAGGGAATGGCCGTCCTGTCGGACATTTCCAGGCGGTAGTATGGAAAGGGGTGACAAAGTTAGGCTGCGGGCTGAATATCAAGCCAGGCGATGGCACTTACGTAACAGCACACTATGCCCCAGCCTTTCATGCAACCATGCACTATTCTCAACATGCACGGGAAAATGTCACGCCACGAAGACAACCAGGTCCGTCACTAGTCAATAGTTTCTACAGGCTAATTTTTTAAAAAAAGATACAAAAAAATATATATCATATCAACGACAACGATAAAAAACAAAAATATAAAAACTAGCAACGACTATAGTACAATGACCATAACCTTTACGAGCTCCATTTGAAATATGTAGTCTCCCCATCCCATTAACCATCATTGCACCTTCCCAGTCACTTCTTCGTTAAAGTAGTGGATTCCAAGCTAAGGAACCAGTCTCCTGGGGGGAAGGTGGGGGATGTATTGGGAGCAGTTTTGAAAGACTACATGGAGGAACATAGAGAGGATCAGCCGTCGCGAAAAGCGTATTAAAGGGTATTACAGAAGATTGGGTGCCAATAAAGTGGGAACATTAAAGTGGGAACATTAAAGTCATTCAGAGCTTTAGGGGGAATCAGGTACATTTTACTGGAACACAACCTAAATTGTCTGACCATTCCTCTCCCCCACCCCCTCCTGGTCCCTTAAAGCTTAAAGTAAGCAATCGTAAAAGGTCTCATTGTAATTAAAGTTAGAAGGAAAAAAAAGTAAACTTAAACCTCATTCACATATACTAATCTGCTTTTTGTTGTTTGTTTTGATTTGTTTTTTATCATTATTATTATTTTAAATTATTTTTCAGAATCCTCATGCGAAATCGAGTCAGACGAACGTGTTAAGTGCTCGGACAGTCTTGTCGCTCCATTCGTGACACCTAAAATGTGCCTTGACGCCGGTTGCTGCTATGACGACATGTTCATGAGTGAGCCAAATGTGAAGTGTTATAATCGAAATGGAAAGACTTGGTGCTTTCAAAGAAAACAGGCCTAAGAAAATGAACTAGCTGCCGATACAAACTAGAATAATAATAAAAACAAGTTAAACTTACATGGCTAGATATATTTTATGAAAGCAATGAAACAATGAACACGTTTTAGTCAGTTCCCTTGCTTTTCCCCATGATACCTTGCGTTGCGGTCACTAAAATGGTGGCAGGTGCTATGCGGACTAACGAAGAAACTTTTACATTTTCTGGATGCATAAGACAAGAAAACCATTCAAAGCTTTATCAAAGGAATGGCTAGTAATAAAAAATGTTTGCGAGGAAATTCGAACATCGCAAATTTCAAAAAAACAATCTTGTGTACTCATGAAGAAGGTATGTACTTGATCAAAGCCATCTGAGCTATGTAACATGTGTTTCTTTCAATGATAACTACAACAGCACGAATAGTTTGACGAAAAAAAGAAATGTCCAGTTTTTGTCTCTATGTGTGATTATTTAACGCAAGGCAGCTTTCTTTAACGAAAAAGGAGACTGGTGCTTGCATTTTTCAATTCCAAACTGATAGACGTATACTGGTTACGGAGCAGGTACATGTACAGCGATCATCGAAGTGTGTCGGATTAATCGCCCTAAAGCGCATACTAGAACATCATTTTGTCAATGTAAGAGGAAGACAAAACAACAATTTATCAACTAGCCTTGGTTGGGGAGCCAGCGGACAGGTAACAAAGCAGCCCTAGCATGTTGTCTGAGATAATTTATGATTATTGCTAACTTGGATAGCAGGTGC